TCGTACCGGTGCGTCCGTGGGGGCACTCGCAGAAGAAGGAGGCGACGCGGTCGTGGCAGGTGGCGCCATGGTAACAGGCGGCGCTGGCGCAGTCGTCGATGTTCTCGCTGCAGTCGGCGCCCGTCCAGCCGTTCACGCACACGCAGTGGAACCCGCCGTGCGTGTCGTGGCAGGTGCCGCCGTTCTGACAGGCGTTGGGCATCAGCTCACACTCGTCCACGTTCTCCGTGCAGAACTGGCCTGGAGGGGGGGGGGGGGGGGGTGGGGGGGGGGGGGAGGCGTTAGGGGGCAGGGCTTAAGGAGCCGGGAGGTTAGGGTTAGGGTTAGGGTTAAGGTGGAGGGTTAGTGTGGAGGGTTAGGGTTAGGTTTAGGGTTAGGGTGGAGGGTTAGGGTTTGGCTCAGGGTTAGGGTCAGGTTTAGGTTTAGGTTTAGAGTCAGGGTCAGGTTTTGGGTAAGGGTGGAGGGTTAGAGTCAGGGTTAGGGTCAGGGTTAGGGTCGAGAGTTAGGGTCAGGTTTAGGGTTAGGGTCAGGTTCAGGTTTAGGGTCAGGGTTAGGTTTAGGGTTAGGGTTAGGGTCAGGTTTAGGGTTAGGGTGGAGGGTTAGAGTCAGGGTTAGGGTCATGTTTAGGTTTAGGGTTAGGTTTAGGGTCATGTTTAGGTTTAAGGTCAGGGTTAGGTTCAGGGTCATTCAGGTTCAGGGTCAGGGTCAGGTTTAGGTTTCGGGTTAGGGTGGAGGGTTAGGGTTAAGGTCAGGTTTAGGGTCAGTTTTAGGGTTAGGGTTAGGTTTAGGGTTCGGTTCAGGTTTAGGGTTAGGGTCAGGGTCAGGGTCAGGTTTTGGGTCAGGGTAAGGGTTAGGGTTAGGTTTAGGGTCAGTTTTAGGATCAGGGTTAGATTTAGGTTTAGGGTTAGGTTTAGGGTCAGGTTCAGGTTTAGGGTTAGGGTTAGGGTCAGGTTAGCTGCGGGCTCCCACCTGTGTAGTGGGGGGGGCACTGGCAGTTGTAGGTGTTGACCCCGTCCACGCAGACGCCGCCGTTCTGACAGCTGTGGCCGGGACAGTCGTCCACGTTGTGCTCGCAGTGCTGACCGGTGAAGCCTGGGGGGGGGGGG